AAGAGAAGAGCTTGAACTTCTGACCTTCGGCTAACTGAGCTATTTCAACTCTTTGAAAAAACTATAATGAGTACGCTAGAAGAAGGGGTTGAACCTTCGACCTTGTGGTTAACAGCCACACGCTCTAACCAACTGAGCTACTCCAGCCTCCAATGTCTAAAAATTTCTAAATGATCTAGGAGAAGAGCTTGAACTTCTGACTTTCGGCTAGTTGAGCTATTTCAGCTACTTGAAAAAACTCAAATGAGTACGCTAGAAGAGGGGGTTGAACCTTCTACCTTGTGGTTAACANCCACACGCTTTAACCAACTGAGCTACTCCAGCCTCCAAAACTCTAATGAGTACGCTAGAAGAAGGGGTTGAACCTTTGACCTTATGGTTAACAGCCACACGCTCTAACCAACTGAGCTATTCCAGCCTCCAATATCAAAAAATGTCTAAACGATCTTGGAGATGAGCTTGAACTTCTGACCTTCGACTAACTAAGCTATTTCAACTACTTGATAAAACTCTAATGAGCGAAGAAGGGGTTGATAACCTTCGACCTTGTGGTTAACAGCCACACGCTCTAACCAACTGAGCTATTCCAGCCTCCAATGTAAAAAATTTCTAAACGATTTAAGAGAAGAGCTTGAACTTCTGGAGTACGCTAGAAGAAGGGGTTGAACCTTCGACCTTGTGGTTAACAGCCACACGCTCTAACCAACTGAGCTACTCCAGCCTCCAATGTCAAAAAATTTCTAAACGATCTAAGAGAAGAGCTTGNACTTCTGACCTTCGGCTAACTGAGCTATTTCAACTCTTTGAAAAAACTCTAATGAGTACGCTAGAAGAAGGGGTTGAACCTTCGACCTTGTGGTTAACAGCCACACGCTCTAACCAACTGAGCTACTCCAGCCTCCAATTTCAAAAAATTTCTAAACAATCTAAGAGAAGAGCTTGAACTTCTGACCTTCGGCTAACTGAGCTATTTCAACTCTTTGAAAAAACTCTAATGAGTACGCTAGAAGAAGGGGTTGAACCTTCGACCTTGTGGTTAACAGCCACACGCTCTAACCAACTGAGCTACTCCAGCCTCCAATGTTTAAAAATTTCTAAATGATCTAGGAGAAGAGCTTGAATTGATCTAGGAGAACAGCTTGAACTTCTGACTTTCGGCTAGTTGAGCTATTTCAGCTACTTGATAAAACTCTGATGAGCACGCTAGAAGAAGGGGTTGATAACCTTCGACCTTGCTGTTAACAGCCCCACGCTCTAACCAACTGAGCTATTCCAGCCTCCAATGTAAAAAAATTCTAAACGATCAAAGAGAAGAGCTTGAACTTCTGACCTTCGGCTAACTGAGCTATTTCAGCTACTTGAAAAAACTCAAATGAGTACGCTAGAAGAGGGGGTTGAACCTTCTACCTTTTGGTTAACAGCCACACGCTCTAACCAACTCAGCTACTCCAGCCTCTAAATGTCAAAATATTTCTAAACGATCTAAGAGAAGAGCTTGAACTTCTGACCTTCGGCTAACTGAGCTATTTCAGCTACTTGAAAAAACTCAAATGAGTACGCTAGAAGAGGGGGTTGAACCTTCTACCTTGTGGTTAACAGCCACACGCTCTAACCAACTGAGCTACTCCAGCCTCCAATGTCAAAATATTTCTAAACGATCTAAGAGAAGAGCTTGAACTTCTGACCTTCGGCTAACTGAGCTATTTCAGCTACTTGAAAAAACTCAAATGAGTACGCTAGAAGAGGGGGTTGAACCTTCTACCTTGTGGTTAACAGCCACACGCTCTAACCAACTAAGCTACTCCAGCCTCCAATGTCTAAATATTTCTAAACGATCTAAGAGAAGAGCTTGAACTTCTGACCTTCGGCTAACTGAGCTATTTCAACTCTTTGAAAAAACTCTAATGAGTACGCTAGAAGAAGGGGTTGAACCTTCGACCTTGTGGTTAACAGCCACACGCTCTAACCAACTGAGCTATTCCAGCCTCCAATATCAAAAAATGTCTACACGATCTTGGAGATGAGCTTGAACTTCTGACCTTCGACTAACTGAGCTATTTCAACTACTTGATAAAACTCTAATGAGCGAAGAAGGGGTTGATAACCTTCGACCTTGTGGTTAACACCACACGCTCTAACCAACTGAGCTATTCCAGCCTCCAATGTAAAAAATTTCTAAACGATTTAAGAGAAGAGCTTGAACTTCTGGAGTACGCTAGAAGAAGGGGTTGAACCTTCGACCTTGTGGTTAACAGCCACACGCTCTAACCAACTGAGCTACTCTAGCCTTCAATGTCAAACTATTTCAAAACGACCTAGGAGAAGAGCTTGAACTTCTGACCTTCGGCTAACTAAGCTATTTCAGCTACTTGATAAAACTCTAATGAGTACGCAAGAAGAAGTGGTTGACCTTCGACCTTGTGGTTAACAGCCACACGCTCTAACCAACGAGCTACTCAAGCCTCCAATGTCAAAAAATTTCTAAATGATCTAGGAGAAGAGCTTGAACTGATCTAGGAGAAGAGCTTGAACTTCTGACTTTCGGCTAGTTGAGCTATTTCAGCTACTTGATAAAACTCTAATGAGCACGCTAGAAGAAGGGGTTGATAACCTTCGACCTTGCTGTTAACAGCCACACGCTCTAACCAACTGAGCTATTCCAGCCTCCAATGTAAAAAATTTCTAAACGATCTAAGAGAAGAGCTTGAACTTCTGACCTTACGCTAGAAGAGGGGGTTGAACCTTCTACCTTGTGGTTAACAGCCACACGCTCTAACCAACTGAGCTACTCCAGCCTCCAATGTCAAAATATTTCTAAACGATCTAAGAGAAGAGCTTGAACTTCTACTGAGCTACTCCAGCCTCCAATGTCAAAATATTTCTAAACGATCTAAGAGAAGAGCTTGAACTTCTGACCGTCAGCTAACTCTAATGAGTACGCTAGAAGAAGGGGTTGAACCTTTGACCTTGTGGTTAACAGCCACACGCTCTAACCAACTGAGCTACTCTAGCCTTCAATGTCAAACTATTTCAAAACGACCTAGGAGAAGAGCTTGAACTTCTGACCTTCGGCTAACTAAGCTATTTCAGCTACTTGATAAAACTCTAATGAGTACGTCAAAAAATTTCTAAACGATCTAAGAGAAGAGCTTGAACTTCTGACCTTCGGCTAACTAAGCTATTTCAGCTACTTGATAAAACTCTAATGAGCACGCTAGAAGAAGGGGTTGATAACCTTCGACCTTGCTGTTAACAGCCACACGCTCTAACCAACTGAGCTACTCTAGCCTTCAATGTCAAACTATTTCAAAACGACCTAGGAGAAGAGCTTGAACTTCTGACCTTCGGCTAACTAAGCTATTTCAGCTACTTGATAAAACTCTAATGAGTACGCAAGAAAAAGAGGTTGACCTTCGACCTTGTGGTTAACAGCCACACGCTCTAACCAACTGAGCTACTCAAGCCTCCAATGTAAAAAAATTTCTAAATGATCTTGGGGAAGAGCTTGAACTTCTGACTTTCGGCTAGTTGAGCTATTTCAGCTACTTGATAAAACTCTAATGAGCACGCTAGAAGAAGGGGTTGATAACCTTCGACCTTGCTGTTAACAGCCACACGCTCTAACCAACTGAGTTATTCCAGCCTCCAATGTAAAAAATTTCTAAACGATCTAAGAGAAGAGCTTGAACGTCTGACCTTCGGCTAACTGAGCTATTGCAGCTACTTGAAAAAACTCAAATGAGTACGCTAGAAGAGGGGTTGAACCTTCGACCTTGTGGTTAAGGGCCACACGCTCTAACCAACTGAGCTACTCCAGCCTCCAATGTTAAAAAATTTTTAAACGATCTAAGAGAAGAGCTTGAACTTCTGACCTTCGGCTAACTGAGCTATTTGAGCTAACCTTCGTACTTGTGGTTAACAGCCACATGCTCTAACCAACTGAGCTACTCAAGCCTCCAATGTCTAAAAATTTCTAAACGATCTAAGAGAAGTCCTTGAACTTCTGACCTTCGGCTAACTGAGCCTATTTCAACTCTTTGAAAAAACTCTAATGAGTACGCTAGATGAAGGGGTTGAACCTTCGACCTTGTGGTTAACAGCCACATGCTGTAACCAACTGAGCTACTCCAGCCTCCAATGTCAAAAAATTTCTAAACGATCTAAGAGAAGAGCTTGAACTTCTGACCTTCGGCTAACTAAGCTATTTCAGCTACTTGATAAAACTCTAATGAGTACGTCAAAAAATTTCTAAACGATCTAGGAGAAGAGCTTGAACTTCTGACCTTCGGCTAACTAAGCTATTTCAGCTACTTGATAAAACTCTAATGAGTACGCTAGATGAAGGGGTTGAACCTTCGACCTTGTGGTTAACAGCCACATGCTGTAACCAACTGAGCTACTCCAGCCTCCAATGTCAAAAAATTTCTAAACGATCTAAGAGAAGAGCTTGAACTTCTGACCTTCGGCTAACAGCGACACGCTCTAACCAACTGAGCTACTCCAGCCTCCAATGTCAAAAAATTTCTAAACGATCTAAGAGAAGAGCTTGAACTTCTGGAGTACGCTAGAAGAAGGGGTTGAACCTTCAACCTTGTGGTTAACAGCCACACGCTCTAACCAACTGAGCTACTCCAACCTTCAATGTCAAACTATTTCAAAACGATCTAGGAGAAGAGCTTGAACTTCTGACCTTCGGCTAACTAAGCTATTTCAGCTACTTGATAAAACTCTAATGAGTACGCAAGAAGAAGAGGTTGACCTTCGATCTTGTGGTTAACAGCCACACGCTCTAACCAACTGAGCTACTCCAGCCTCCAATTTCAAAAAATTTCTAAACAATCTAAGATAAGAGCTTGAACTTACGCTAGAAGAAGGGGTTGAACCTTCAACCTTGTGGTTAACAGCCACACGCTCTAACCAATTGAGCTACTCCAACCTCCAATGTTAAAAAATTTATAAACGGTCTAGGAGAAGAGCTTGAAGTTCTGCTGTAATGACTACGCTAGAAGAAGGAGTTGAACCTTCTAACTTGTGGTTAACAGCCACACGCTATAACCAACTAAGCTACTCCAGCCTCCAATGTCAAACTATTTCTAAACGATCTAGGAGAAGAGCTTGAACTTCTGACCTTCGGCTAACTAAGCTATTTCAGCTACTTGATAAAACTCTAATGAGTACGTCAAAAAATTTCTAAACGATCTAAGAGAAGAGCTTGAACTTTTGAATTTGGCTAACTGAGCTATTTCAGCTTCTTGAAAGAACTCTAATGAGTACGCTAGAAGAAGGGGTAGAACCTTCGACCTTGTGGTTAATAGCCACACACTTTAACCAACTGAGCTACTCCAGCCTCGAATGTCAAACTATTTCAAAACGATCTAGGAGAAGAGCTTGAACTTCTGACCTTCGGCTAACTAAGCTATTTCAGCTACTTGATAAAACTCTAATGAGTACGCAAGAAGAAGAGGTTGACCTTCGATCTTGTGGTTAACAGCCACACGCTCTAACCAACTGAGCTACTCCAGCCTCCAATTTCAAAAAATTTCTAAACAATCTAAGATAAGAGCTTGAACTTACGCTAGAAGAAGGGGTTGAACCTTCAACCTTGTGGTTAACAGCCACACGCTCTAACCAATTGAGCTACTCCAACCTCCAATGTTAAAAAATTTATAAACGGTCTAGGAGAAGAGCTTGAAGTTCTGCTGTAATGACTACGCTAGAAGAAGGAGTTGAACCTTCTAACTTGTGGTTAACAGCCACACGCTATAACCAACTAAGCTACTCCAGCCTCCAATGTCAAACTATTTCTAAACGATCTAGGAGAAGAGCTTGAACTTCTGACCTTCGGCTAACTAAGCTATTTCAGCTACTTGATAAAACTCTAATGAGTACGTCAAAAAATTTCTAAACGATCTAAGAGAAGAGCTTGAACTTTTGAATTTGGCTAACTGAGCTAATTCAGCTTCTTGAAAGAACTCTAATGAGTACGCTAGAAGAAGGGGTAGAACCTTCGACCTTGTGGTTAATAGCCACACACTTTAACCAACTGAGCTACTCCAGCCTCGAATGTCAAACTATTTCTAATGTGGTTAATAGCCACACACTTTAACCAACTGAGCTACTCCAGCCTCGAATGTCAAACTATTTCTAAACGATCTAGTAGAAGAGCTTGAACTTCTCACCTTCGGCTAACTAAGCTATTTCAGCTACTTGATAAAACTCTAATGAGTAAGCTAGAAGAAGGGGTTGACCTTCGACCTTGTGGTTAACAGCCACACGCTCTAACCAACTAAGCTACTCCAACATCCATTATCCAAAAATTAACCAACTAAGCTACTCCAACATCCATTATCCAAAAATTTCTAAACGATGTAGGAGAAGAGCTTGAACTTCTGACCTTTGGCTAATTGAGCTATTTCAGCTACTTGATAAAACTCTAATGAGTAAGCTAGAAGAAGGGGTTGACCTTCGACCTTGTGGTTAACAGCCACACGCTCTAAACAACTGATCTACTCAAACCTCCAATGTCAAAATAATTCTAAACGATCTAAGAGATGAGCTTGAACTTCTAACCTTCGGCTAACAGAGCTATTTCAGCTACTTGATAAACCTCTAATGAGTAACACTAGAAGAAGGAGTAGAACCTTTGACCTTGTGGTTAACAGCCACACGCTCTAACCAACTGAGCTACTCCAGCCTCCAATTTCAAAAAATTTCTAAACAATCTAAGAGAAGAGCTTGAACTTCTGACCTTCGGCTAACTGAGCTATTTCAACTCTTTGAAAAAACTCTAATGAGAGTACGCTAGAAGAAGGGGTTGAACCTTCGACCTTGTGGTTAACAGCCACACGCTCTAACCAACTGAGCTACTCCAACCTCCAATGTCTAAAAATTTCTAAACGATCTAGGAGAAGAGCTTGAACTTTTGACCTTCGGCTCACTAAGCTATTTCAGCTACTTGATAAAACTCTAATGAGTACGCTAGAAGAAGGGGTTGATAACCTTCGACCTTGTGGTTAACAGCCACACGCTCTAACCCACTGAGCTATTCCAGCCTCCAATGTAAAAAATTTCTAAACAATCTTGTACTTCTGACCTTCGGCTAACTGAGTTATTTTAGCTACTTGAAAAAACTCTAATGAGTACGCTAGAAGAAGGGGTTGGCCTTCGATCTTATGGTTAACAGCCACACGCTCTAACCAACTGAGCTACTCCAACCNGACCTTCGGCTAACTGAGCTATTTCAACTCTTTGAAAAAACTCTAATGAGAGTACGCTAGAAGAAGGGGTTGAACCTTCGACCTTGTGGTTAACAGCCACACGCTCTAACCAACTGAGCTACTCCAACCTCCAATGTCTAAAAATTTCTAAACGATCTAGGAGAAGAGCTTGAACTTTTGACCTTCGGCTCACTAAGCTATTTCAGCTACTTGATAAAACTCTAATGAGTACGCTAGAAGAAGGGGTTGATAACCTTCGACCTTGTGGTTAACAGCCACACGCTCTAACCCACTGAGCTATTCCAGCCTCCAATGTAAAAAATTTCTAAACAATCTTGTACTTCTGACCTTCGGCTAACTGAGTTATTTTAGCTACTTGAAAAAACTCTAATGAGTACGCTAGAAGAAGGGGTTGGCCTTCGATCTTATGGTTAACAGCCACACGCTCTAACCAACTGAGCTACTCCAACCTCCAATGTCATAAAATTTCTAAACGATCTAGAAGAAGAGCTTGAACTTCTGACCTTCGGCTAACTGAGCTATTTCAGCTACTTGATAAAACTCTAATGAGTACGCTAGAAGAAGAGGCTGATAACCTTCGACCTTGTGGTTAACAGCCACACGCTCTAACCAACTGAGCTATTCCAGCCAACAATATCAAAAAATTTCTAAACGATCTAGGAGATGAGCTTGAACTTTTGACCTTTCGGCTAACTGAGCTATTTCAGCTACTTGATAAAACTCTAATGAGAGTACGCTAGAAGAAGGGGTTGAACCTTCGACCTTGTGGTTAACAGCCACACGGTCTAACCAACTGAGCTATTCCAGCCAACAATATCAAAAAATTTCTAAACGATCTAGGAGAAGAGCTTGAACTTCTGACCTTCGGTTACTTGAAAGAACTGTAATGAGTACGCTAGAAGAAGGGTTTGAACCTTTGACCTTGTGGTTAAAGGCCACTCGCTCTAACCAACTGAGCTACTCCAACCTTCAATGTCAAACTACTTCTTAACGATCTAGAAGAAGAGATTTAACTTCTGACCTTCGATATTTCAACTACTTGATAAAACTCTAATGAGTACGCTAGATGAAGGGATTAAACCTTCGACCTTGTGGTTAACAACCACACTCTCTAACCAACTGAGCTACTCCGACCTTCTGCTAACTAAGCTATTTCAGCTACTTGAAAGAACTCTAATGAGTACGCTAGAAGAAGGGTTTGAACCTTCGACCTTGTGGTTAACAGCCACACGCTCTAACCAATTGAGCTATTTCAGTCTCCAATATCAAAAAATTTCTAAACGATCTAGGAGATGAGCTCAAACTTCTGACCTTTCGGCTAAATGAGCTATTTCAGCTACTTCATAAAACTCTAATGATTATTATGAGTCACCTTGTGGTTAACAACCACACGCTCTAACCAACTGAGCTACTCCATCCTCCAATGTCAAACTATTTCTAAACGATCTAGGAGATGAGCTTGAACTTCTGACCTTTCGGCTAACTAAGCTATTTCAGCTACTTGCTAAATCTCTAATGAGTAGACTATAAGAAGGGGTTGAACCTACGACCTTGTGGTTATCAGCCACACGCTCAAACCAACTGAGCTATTCCAACCTCCATTATCCAAAAATTTCTAAACGATCTAGGAGATGAGCTTGAACTTCTGACCTTCGGCTAAATGAGCTATTTCAGTTACTTCATAAAACTCTAATGAGTACGCCTGAAGAAGGGGTTAAACCTTCGACCTTGTGGTTAACCGCCACACACTCTAACCAACTGAGCTACTCTAGCCTCCAATGTCAAAAAATTTCTAAACGATCTAGGAGAAGAGCTTGAACTTCTGACCTTCTGCTAACTAAGCTATTTCAGCTACTTGATAAAACTCTAATGAGTACGCTAGAAGAAGGGGTTGACCTTCGACCTTGTGGTTAACAGCCACACGCTCTAACCAACTGAGCTACTCCAGCCTCCAATGTCAAAAAATATCTAAACGATCTAGGAGAAGAGCTTGAACTTCTGACCTTGCGGCTAATTGAGCTATTTCTGCTACTTGATAAAACTCTAATGAGTGATTTCTGCAATTATTTTTTGATAGCGGTTGCTGAATATCATAAACTTATTACACAAAATCCTATTTTTTTAGAACGAGTTGAGGGAGTAGGCATTATTTCTGGAGAAGAGGTAATAAATTGGAGGTTATCAGGACCAATGCTGCAAGCTTCCGGAATACCATGGGTTCTTCGTAAAGTGGATCATTATGAGTGTTTTGACGAATTTGATTATGAAGTTCAGTGGCAAAAAGAAGGAGATTCATTAGCTCGTTATTTAGTCAGACTTGGTGAGATGACGGAATCCATAAAAATTATTCAACAAGCTTTGGAAGGAATTCCAGGGGGACCTTATGAAAATTTAGAAATACGATCTTTTGATCGAGGACAGTCTCCGGAATGGAATGACTTTGACTATCGATTCATTAGTAAAAAACCTTCGCCAACTTTTGAATTGGCGAAACAAGAACTTTATGTGAGAGTCGAAGCCCCAAAAGGGGAATTGGGCATTTTTTTGATAGGGGATCAGGGTGGTTTTCCTTGGAGATGGAAAATTCGCCCGCCGGGTTTTATCAATTTGCAAATTCTTCCTCAGTTAGTTAAAAGAATGAAATTGGCTGATATTATGACAATACTAGGTAGCATAGATATCATTATGGGAGAAGTTGATCGTTAAAATGATAATTGATACATCACAAGTCCAAGATATCAATTCTTTTTCGAGATTGGAATTCTTAAAAGAAGTCTATGGAATTCTATGGGTGTTTGTCCCTATTTTGACTACTGTATTGGGAATCACAATCGGC